ACAGGAAGGCCCCCACCTAGTGACCTGGAGTGTGCCATGTTTGCCCTGCCAGCAAGAATGGGTGGACTGGGAATAACAATCCCTTCCACTCAAGCCGACCAGGAACATCAGTCATCCTTACTGGTTACCTCTGCCCTCCAAGACCACATCACACTACAAGATGAGGCCTACGGGTATGAAGTCATTGCCCAGCAATTGGAATCCAAGGCCATTGTTAGAAATAGAAACAAGGAAAATCGTTCAAAAGCCGCCGGCGATGTGCTAGAACTTTTACCAGACAACCTGCAGAGGTCGGTGAAACTAGCAAGCGAGAAAGGATCCTCCACTTGGCTCACTGTCCTGCCACTTTCAGAGCATGGCTTTGCCCTGCACAAAGGAGCTTTCCACGATGCCCTGGCATTACGGTACGGCTGGACACCAGAGAGACTTCCTTCGAAATGTATCTGTGGTGCCTCTTTTTCAGTTGAGCATGCTCTGTCCTGTGCCAAGGGCGGCTTTCCATCGATCAGGCACAATGAGATACGGGACCTGACAGCTACCCTCCTCACAGAAGTGTGCAAGGACGTGTGCATTGAGCCAGAGCTTCAGCCTGTGAACGGTGAAGAATTGACGGGGTCAACTGCCAACTCCCAGGAAGGTGCCCGCCTTGATATCGCTGCAAATGGTGTCTGGGGTGGTACCTTCGAGAGAACCTACTTCGACGTTAGGGTATTTAATCCCCATGCCCCGTCAAACAGACACACCAACCTGCAGTCAGTCTACAGAAAGCACGAACAAATCAAGAAGCGTGCATATGAACAGCGGATAAGAGAAGTTGAACACGCTACCTTCACGCCTCTGGTGCTCTCTGCTACCGGTGGCTTGGCCAGGGAGGCCAACACTTTCTACAAAAGACTCGCCTCCATGCTCGCCTCCAAGTGGGACCACACCTACAGCCACACTCTCCGCTGGCTACGTTGTCGTCTAGCCTTCTCCCTTTTACGCTCCTCCATCCAGGCCATCAGGGGTGCAAGATCATCATGCGGACATGCCATCAGAATGCCCATGGCGGTCGATTTGATCATCTCGGAAACACACCTTGTATCACTCTAAATTGCTCTCTATCTTCTTATTTATACCTGCATTCATACTGTATATAATATAACGTCGTTTGACGTTAAAAAAAAAAAAAAAAAAAATAAAAGAGTATTACGGTATACGTAACGTGTGCGTAAAGTGCGCGTAGAATTATTTCGGGACGCGCCTTAACGTCCCTGAGGATAAACATCTTCTCACACATTTCCATTTCTCCCCCATCATTTGCCCCACTGACATTAAGATGCATAATATTTTTTGGAATGTATTACAATGCACACAGTTGTGTGTTGCAGCAGAGTTCGGTTTGCCACATAAAAGATACGATGTAGCACAGTGTAACAAACAAAGCTTGAGAAATGGCAGCCTCAAACAGTGTGGTCATAAGGGGTTTACTTCAAAAGGTTTCATTGTATCACTGAGGAAAGAGATTGAAAAACTGCTCATAGAACTGATCATCCTGGAAATTTTCTGGTTTGGAGACGCAGAGCTGTGTATAGATGCTTATTGTATATTAAAGAGGTGTATGACCTCTTGGTGTTTACCGCAACTTTCCTAGTATATGGAGTAGCAAACACAGATTTACACAAGGGAATTTTTTTATGAAGGCAGCATAGTGAAAACTTTCAAAACCACTGCAGGGAGAGTTTGGTTGCAAAACAGCGGGAGAGGGTGGGAAACTGTACAAACCTTTATGTGTATATTTTGACTTAAAAACTGAATGGGCAATGTTTAAACAACTTGCTCTTTTGCAACCTTATATACCTTTCTTGCAACAGAAACCATGCTCAAAGTAAAGTATATGACAAGACATGCACACAGTGTAGCAGGAAAATGGCAAGCGTTTGTCTGACTCTACTATTGCTGAGTGAATTATACCTCTCCACAGTCAGTCCCTGGTTCAGTCACTGAGAGTGTACATTGATGGATATGAGGGAAATGACAGTCTAGAGTATTTGAATTCAAGTTCCATTGAGACTCCATGTCAGTCTCTCTCATTTGTATCGCAGAATCTGACTCAGAAACACTTTGTAGTCATTGATATTTTGGGTGATGTGCTGAACTTGACAAGAGCTGTGAACTTCACTGGCTACTCTAATCTCACCATCAGTGGCTCTGGAAGTAGCACAACACTTCAATGCAATGAATCAGATGCTGGGCTAGCATTTGTTAGAGTGGTGAATCTGTCAATATGTTCCCTCACTGTTGAAAACTGTGGAGCTTCTAGACCTAGCACTACTGACATACAGTACCTTGCTGTCGCTGTTTATGTCCTTAACTGCTCTAACATGTTAATCAATAGTGTAGATATTATCTCATCAAATGTATGACACAAAAGGAGTAGTTGAAATAATATCTTGCAACTTCATCAGTAACACTGTCACCAACATGAATATGTCTGGAGGAGGTGGTTTGTACATTGAATTTACAATTTGTATACCAGGATTTACAAAGTATCACAGTGGTCATATTGAAAAAAGCAGCTACAATATTCATAATTGCAATTTTTTTTTTTATTATGCCTACTCCTCACATCAAGTTCACAATTTCTCACAGCAGGTGTTTGCACCCACACTTGGCAAAGGTGGGGGGGATGTACATTAGGATTGGATCAGATTCTGATAATAACACTTTCCTTGTGAAAAATTGCAGTTTTCAGAAAAACCATGCCAGTTATACTGCAGGTGGAATGATTGCAGAGTTCCTTAATTCCGTAAAACATAACATTATCTCTGTTGTTGAAACTACTTTTGATGAGAACATTTGTATGAGCAAAGGATACTTAGGCACTGGTGGTCTTGTAGTGTCATTTACGTTCAATTCGCAACTATACATCGATGTAAAGCTTCCACAAAACAACACGTTTGAATGTCAGTTTTGCTCATTCAGAAATAACATAGGACATACAGGCGGTGGAACTTCAATATTTGCAGCAAAAGACACTAACAAGTCATCGCTAAGCACCATACTGTTTTCCAAGTGCAACTGGACTGACAACGAGTCTGCCATGGGAGCCGCTGTGTTTATCACTCCTGCTATCTGGGACTATACCAAAGAAGGTTATCTACCAGTTCCCAAGTTTATAGAATGCAGATTTGAATCAAACTCTGCCATCCAACAGCTCACACCACCAATGGCAGAAGGTATTGGAGTGAAAGTAGAATCTGTCGGTTATGGTGCACTTTTTGCTAGTCAAATGCATGTGACTTTTGAGGACAATACTTACTTTGGCAGCAACAGAGGCTCGGCAATTCACCTCTCTGGCAGTGTAGTTAGGTAAGGATCTAACGTCACATTTGACAATAACACCTCACAGAATGGTGGGGCTATTGCAATGTACAGTTCTTCGTTGATTGAAGTTGGAAATAGTTCCTTTTTGCTATTTATGTACAACAGCGCTTATTCAAGAGGTGGTGCAATATATTCAGACTTCACTGCTGCCACTCATCCTGCCTATCGTAACTGTTTTATCTCCTCTCCAGATTTCTCTCCTGTCAACTCTACATTTATTTTCAAAGGCAATTCTGCAGTTGATAGTGGTGATTCGGTTTTCACAACCACATTTGAGTCGTGCACTGCTTTGTTCGCATTATGGGTTTCCTAAACATCCATCAGTTATTATGCAGTGTATTGCAAACTTCACTTTTGATAAAACTAAGTCAGCTTTGTCTACACATCCTGATAAGTTTTCACTGCATGAGAAAACACCAATAGAACTAATCCCAGGGAAATCACACAATCTTAATTTCTCAGCCACTGATGAAGCCAACCAGGTTAATCTCTCTCAACTTGTTTACAGAACATCAGTCACCAATTCTAATGTCAGCATAGATCAAGCGTGTTTGGAAGTTTCTAACAATGCGATTAAAGTACTAGGTCAGAATGGATCAAGAGCGATATTGCAGTTATTCACAGCAGACATATCAGTTTCATTCAACATTACTCTCAGAGAATGCCAACCAGGGTATCACTACGACCCGTCTACTTTAAAATGTGAATGTGTTGCATCAGAATACTTAGGTTTGGAGGGATGTGATCCAAATGTGTACATCAGACAGGGCTACTGGATGGGTTACTGCACAAATAATGGGAGTGAACTCTGTACAGGTTTCTGCCCCTATGGATTTTGTTCGTACAGCAAGGTGCACCCTGGGGCACATCGCGAAGTTCTTCCTAATGACTCAAGCTCATTAAGTTCCAAAATTTGTGATCCAAACAGAACTAAAAGGCTCTGTGGCAAATGCTCCCAAGGTCACTCAATTTATCACAACTCTATGAAAAACAAATGCGGACCAGACAAACTGTGCAAGTTGGGCTGGCTGTTCTATATTTTTTCTGATCTTTGCCCACTTACTCTTCTCTTCTTTGTTGTCTTAGTTCTGAACATCAGTTTCACAACAGGAAATGCCAACTGCTTTGTGCTATACGGTCAATTATTAGGGTCTATTGCCTTTAATGGCAATGATTCCATCCAATTTTCATCATATTCTGCAATTATTCAAGCTATAGCAACGTTTCCCTACAACTCTTTTAACATGAACTTCTTTACTATAGAAAGTTTGTCTTTTTGTCTCTGGAAAGGATTTACCTTTATGGAAGCCATGATGATGAACTATTTTAATGTTGGATTTGCACTGACTCTTGTGTCGATGATCATCTTCATCACTAAATACCAATATGTGCACAAAAAGCTGTTTTCCCGGTTCCAATATCGTAACAGTATCTTGATACATGGACTCTCCGCCTTTTTTATTCTCTGTTACCCTCAGTCTGCTAGAACGACCTTCCATATCCTTAACTTCTCGTGCCTTTATTCAGCTAACTTTACCTGTAGAGTAAGGGTTGTTCACTGTGCTGGACACGTGACCTATCTTGAAGAAGAACTTATCCCATATGCCATTGTTGCATTAATGTTTTTGGTATTCATGATCATAATCCCACCTCTTCTGCTACTGTCCTACCCACTGGTGTTCAAGCTGTTTGGTCACTGCAACCTGAGTGAGACAAAACTGGTCACCACTCTCTGGAGGATGATGCCAATACAGTTCCTTGATGCATTCCAGAGCTCCTTCAAGGACAAGTATCGCTTCTTTGCTGGTCTCTACTTCCTGTATCGTGCTGCCATCCTTGCATTTTTTGTTTGCTGCCAGTCATGGCTGGAATTTTACACAGTTGTTCAACTGCTCTTAATTTTCATTTTAGCCATTCACTCAGTTTTTCAGCCACACAAAGAGAGAAAGCACAATATTGTGGACTCCCTTCTCTTTGCAAACCTCTGCCTCATCAATGCAATCACACTCTACTACTATAGCAGGACCGAAGTCATGGGGAGGTTTATGTCTGAGATATTAATGGATGCTTTAGCAGTTGTTCAGGCTGTATTAATCATCTTGCCTTTGCTGCTGGGCATCATGCTCTATTTCATTGAATGGAAAATAAAAAGGAAAGAATATGAAAATCTACCTTCTCTTCGTAACGAATAACCTTGCTACTTTTGACTTGCAATGTGTGGATTGTGCACAATAATAGCACTGTTTGCCTTTGTTCTTGTGAGTGTGAGCTCTAGCTGACTGGCCTTTAACTGGACCAGACTGGAAAGATCAAACCACTAGAAAGCTAAAACTATGTTAGATGCCCAGTAAATGCACTATTATCTTATGAGATATCTTGTGTATGTGAAACCAGTTGGTATTATTCTGTTACATCCATGAATGCAGTTAGGTGAATTTGGAACACAGAGAAGGTCACTCATGATACACTGTTCAACTGTAAATAAATTATATTGACCATAGAGTTGTTTTGGTATCTCCCTTTTGCACTTTCTCATAAGAGGCTGTTGTAAAAACGCAGTAGCTAAGAAGTGAGTGAACACTGAAAACTCAAAGTCACTCAAGGATACAGTATATAGCGAAAACTGAGAAGAAATCAAATTCCAAAGACTCGACTAGTGCATGTTATGCATATTGCAGTGGATGATGGATACACACATACTTCAAACTGACACTGCTTGCTGGTGTAAATTATTTGTTCAGAAACTTATGATGTGGCAACTAACACTGTAAGAGTTAATAATTATGCTGAGCGATATCTGTAAATTGGTTGTATCATGCTGTTGTTTGCTTGTTTTCTCTCTTGCCTACTTGGCTACTGGTCACGTGTGTAAACTTCCATAGTCAAAAGTAAGTCTAAAAACTCGGGAAAATATGCAAAAACATGTCCCAAATCGGAAAATATTCATAACTGAAGCATCGGGAAAAAACTATATCTAGCATGTGCACAATGGTATATACAAGCGAAAAAATAGTTAAGAGCAATTGATTCTCATAACTCTGAAGGGAAGAAATGTCTTCAAAGTCTCTTTTCTTTCTTCTTGACATTCTCCATTCCACTACATGCATGACAATGACTACAACCAAAGGCAGGATGATTGAACCACTGCTAACGCACTGACCAAAACCTCAAACCTCAATTGGCCCCAGTCTTCAGTCCTGCTATAGTAGTAGAATGTGATGGAATTATTGAGGCAGAGGTTGCAAGACGGCATCAGTTGAGATTATAGTTGAGCAATAGTGTAGAATGCAAGCCTTGACTGGGCACATACAAAGAGTGCAAGACAGGGAGTAGAGTCCAGCAAAGAAGCGATACTGTCCTTGAAGGAACTCTGGAATGCATCAAGGAACCGATTGGCATCATCCTTCAGAGAATGTTGACCGGGTTTGTATCACTCAGGTTGCAGTGACCAAACAGCTTGAACACCAGAGGACACTAGCAGAAGAGGTGGGATTATGATCAGGAAGAGTAAAACAAGGATTGCAGCAATGGTATATGGGATAATTATGTTCTCAGGTCAATTGTGTAAGCACGATATACAACTTTAACTCCGCATTCAAAATTTGCAGAATAGAGGCAAGAGAAATGTAGAATCTGATAAGGTTGCTCGGGCTGCTTTATAATAAGGAAAGCAGACGAATTATAAAACTGCGAGCTGCATTTTTAAAAACTTGGGAAGTGTCCTTGTGCGTACACATGTAGCTACTTAGTGATGAGAATAGAATTAGAGCTAGTGCACATCCAACAGTGAGGTAATTTATCCCATAAAAGTGGTACCTTTCCAGAGACAAGTGAGATCATCATTACTCCCATAAAAGTGGTATATACCTTCCCAGAGACAGTAGGATACTTTCTAGAGTGAAGAAGTTGAGGCCCAAAGAGTTGTATGGGAATGTTACTATGTCGTCAATAACTGAATAAATTCTATCTTCTCCAGGTAAGGCAAGGGAACCCAGTAACTGACCATAGAGTACAAAGCAGTTATTATCTGTTGTCATACTGACGTTCAGGACTAAAACAACAACAATAAAGAAAAGAGTAAGTGGGAGGAGTTCAGACAAGATGAAGAACAACCAACCCAAGTTGCAGAGCTTCTCAGACCCACATGGTGCTTCCATGAAATATGTTATATTGAGTTACCTGGGGAAAATTCACCACAGACTGTTAGTTCTCTGTGGACCACAAATATCAGAATGTAGTGGCTTTGATTCATTATGAAGCTCATGATATTTTTTCAAGGGTTTAGGAGCAAAATCCATAAGGACAAAAGGCAGTGCAGAGTTCACTGCTGTCTCCAGAGAAATAGCCTGTCCAGTTGCTCTGTTTCAGATATACACTGGGGTCACAATCATCACATCCCTCAAAACAAGTATTCTGATGCTGCACATTCACATTTTGAGCTACTAGGGTTGGAGTTGTATCCTAGTGACACTCTGAGAGGGTGGTGGCTAATGACAACAACCATGTCAAATAATGTGTAAAAGTGTAAATTTGCTGTAGAGCCTATCTTTCCTTTTACCCTGTCTTCGTTGCCAGGAATGCTGCATCCAGTGTAGCATTCCATCTCAGTTGGCAATGCTTTCAACACCAGAACACTATGTGTTTGCTTCATCAGTGGCTGAAAGGAGAAGAGTTGTCTCTGTTCCCGGAATTCTCTCAATCGGAGATTTTTCTTCTAAGCCAAACTTCTTCAGGCGTGTTGACAGGAAATTTTTGAAAATGAAATGTGTTGCATAATCTCTTATGGATTCAAAGTGCACAAAAAGTGCACACGACTGAAATGTAGTTGTGAATAGTGAATCTCCACTTACATTAGCAGAATTTTCAAACATGGAATTTACTTCGGAGAAATCTGGTCAGGATAAAAAAAACAGATAGCAGTGAAAAATATTATGACACCTCTTCTTGAGATTGCTCTGTTGTTCTTGTTCCTTATTTGGATAAATGAAGAACCATACATTGCAATAGATTTTGTAAGATAAATGTAACTGTTTCAGAGGTAAATGGCTGAGTGTCTGTTATTGCCAAAGTAGGTATTACCTTCATATCACTTGCAGGTCCCTAATACACTGTATATGTACTAACTCCAATACCCCCTCTGTCCGTGGTGGCGTGAGCTGCTGAATGACAGAGTTGATTCAAACGGGCAATCCCAGAATGTGGTAAGTGGTAGGTAACCTTCTTTGGTATAGTCCCAGATAGCAGGAGTGATAAACACATCAGCTGCCATGGCAGACTCATTCTCAACCCAGTCACAGTTGGAAAACAACATGGTGCTTAATGATGACTGGTTCCTTTGAAAGCAAATACTTCTGTTCCGCCACCAATATTATGTCCTCTGTCGCCTTTCGATGTGAAATACCAACATTCCAAGGAATTATTTTGTGGGTGTGTGTTTTTCGTCAAAGATTTTGATTAGAACATAGAGGCAATTACCAGTCCTCCTCCACCTGAAAACTGAGTTTGCATACATGTTCTCTCTTCAAAATGTGTTTGAACAGAAACAAAGTTGTTGTTTACAGAGTCAAGGAATTCTGCAATCATTCATGCGGACTTGTAGCTAGTGCTGCTGTTACTAAAAAGGTCCAAAATTTTAACTAGGACACAGTTCTTGGTAGCATCTGAACCTTCACCCACGTCTCGGAACAGACACCTGTCGTGATGGTATAAACTTGCATTTAATTATTCCATTCAGTAAAAGCCCTCTTCCATCTGATGAGAAACGTTCGCAGCATGATTTTTAATACATTAGTTATGTATAATATGTCGAATTATTTTTTGCCAACTAATGTATGTTTTCTGTGTGTGTAGGCAATTCAGAAAAACACCATCGGGATCATGGATTTTGTCAGCTGTCCTAAATCAGGAAGTATTCTATGAGATTGTTTTGTGTAACATGGTAATTTTAATCCGTAACGTGGAAAGTGTCCACTGTAGGGAGGTTGTCTGCTTCTCGGGGGTTCCGTCAAAAACAATTCTATATCAGTGGTCCTAAGGATCTGAAAACTGGCTATAACAGTAAAGGGCTCTTTAGTTTTACCCAATGTATCTTTCAACTTCTCGTAACATCCAACAATAAGACTCCTTGATTTCTTTTACATGGTGGTGATGAGATATCTCTAGGCATTCCTTGAGACGATAGTCAATGCAAGAAAATAACTGTACCACTTCAGTGTCTGGAGCAGTAAATGAATAAAAGCTTATTCTTTTCCTCTTTTTCTTTAAGAATAGCTTTTTTAAATCAATCATTTTTTGTTCTTGATGTAAAGATGGCAAAAAATGTTTATCCCTGAAATAGACAGTCTTGGGCTTTTCCAAGTCTGATAATGAGAATGATCTTCTGAGATTAGAAGACATGCCACTACAAATAGTTCCCACATTGAACTGTTGCAGAGGTCCAAGTCCTGTCCACCGACAATACTCTCCTTCCCTACCAGCAGAGACAGGAACGAATAATCCACATTCAATCTTCATTTTCTTGAGTGTAGTGTTGTCCTTGAGAATGTCATTTAGTTCCAGAAGAAATTCAGTGCAGGTAGTTTTACCTGGCAAAGAAACTGTTGAGAACGTAGATACGAAACAAGAAACATTCATTTTACCCCACCGTCTCTTTTGTCTCATTAAGGGTACATTAGTATCATCATGAATCATCAGATGCTTTAATGTTGTGTTTGTTCTTAGTGCACTACATATGTAGAGGATTCCATCATAGCCCAGTCTACTTCTCTTTAGCTCCAATGTTGCAAGATTTGGACAATCCAGTATGATAGTGCGCACACTAAGCATGGTTTTACGGGATATGTTGGGCAATGTAGCTTTAGTGATGCTATTTGACTGAAAAATTGATTTAAGGACAATGTGAACCAGTGTATCTGTAGGATTGTTTATACCATTAACTGGGAAATTTATGTCAAGCAAGGCTTCAGGATCTACTTTCCATTGGATTGTATAAGTGTTGCTATAGATATGCAATGCTTTCAGTTTGCTGAGGGAGTTTAGTGTTTCTAGCCAGTCCCATTTCTCCCCTATGGTGGAAGTAATATGGATTCTAAGTGAGGTGAGGTGGACAAGTTGTCCAAAAAAGTCTTGAGCAAGGGAATTGTCTATAGAAAATGATTCAAATTCCATTTCTTCAATCATAGCCAAGAAATTG